TCAAAGTGATATTTTGAGGTTCCTAATAACTTTATTTGAAATTAACTGATTGTTTTGAAACAGTGTATGCAACATGTTTGGTCAAAAAGAGGCATTATATATCTACCTGACATTTTCGCGATATGTTCTGACGGTCTGGACAAGGGTCTTTTATCTGGGCTAGCCCACCCCACTTTTATTTGTTTGTTTATTCTGGTCTCCCTGTGTTTGCTTTTAACAATAATAATAGCTGCAGGTAGCCGAAGCCCCAAATCAGAAGCAGGCATCCTTTTTTTTGGCAAGTGTACCCCACTGTGCCATGGTGATGCTGGGCCAGTCACACACACTCAGCCAAATCTACCTCAAGGTTGATGAGATGATAAATTGGAGGAGAGGATAATGATGTACATGGCTTCAAGTCCCAATTGGGGAGAATGGTGGGATATGAATGAAGTGAATAAATATTAGTATGGCAGCTGGCTATTCCTTTGTTGAGCTGACAGTCCAGAATAGTTAGTGAGGTTTCATCGGTGGGATCTAAAGACAGGAAGTGATCTGATTGCTAGAGATGTCTCTCTAAAGCAGTGGTTCTCAACCTGTGGGTCGCGACCCCTTTGGGGGTCGAACGACCCTTTCACAGGGGTCGCCTAAGACCATTGGAAAATTTGTAACAATGAAAATACATCCTGCATATCAGATATTTACATTACGATTCATAACAGTAGCAAAATTACAGTTATGAAGTAGCAACAAAAATAATTTTATGGTTGGGGGTCACCACAACATGAGGAACTGTATTAAAGGGTCGCAGCATTAGGAAGGTTGAGAACCACTGCTCTAAAGTGTATTGAAGGAGATGGCTAAGAGCATGGAGAACTTGACTTTCCTGCAGCTGAGATGAGTGGGCAAATTTGGATGAAAAACAGCATGTGGAAAACAGAAGGAGAGAGCTGTGAGTTGGCTGATGGGGATGCGATTTGGGGAGCAGATTTTCTTTCCTGGGATCTGATGGGTGTGTGTGTGCATGTGTTTGCGAGCACGCTTGCAGGAGTGCTCCTTTGCTTCCACAGTTCTTTGTATACAAAATATATACAATACAGTATACAAAATATACAGACTTTTTTTGTATATTTTGTATATTCCGTATTTATAAATTTATTCATTTTTGTCATTTTAGTGCTGCCTTTCCACCTGATCAGGGTTTCCAAGGCAGCACACATAAAACATTAGAACAATGAAAAACAACATTAACATTATAAAATAATTCAATAAAATATATCAAAAACAACACCAGAATCAGGGAGGGTGTGGCCAATAAATATGCCAAACGAAACAAAAGTCTGCACCCATCGGTGGAAAACGCTGATGGAGACAAATGCCCCGGGGGGGGGGGGGAGTTTCAAAGTTTCGGTGCCTCCTGTCTGGTCGCAGATGGCAGGGACAACTGAAGTACCTAGTCAACCCATCTCTTTTGACTTGCTGTGAGTCGGTCTCTAGCCTTCTGAGAACCAGGTAGGCATGTGGGTTCAAGTCAAAGTCATAGCCTAATCCATGGACCCTCTTGCCCCAGACATGCAACCCCCCTGCTGCTTGTTGCCACTTGTGGCATCCATGCTGCTGGTTGGCCACACACGCCCCAAATAACTGCAGCTTGGGCTGCAGCCACTCCAGTTGATTTCTCACCCCAGTGAAAGGGGAGGCCAATCCTAAATTTAATCTTTCAGTTGTTCCTGAGGCAGCATGGTTCCAGTGCTATGCTTTGAACGTAGAAAGCCCAGGAATGTCCCACTGTGAGGCTTGCCGGGGAGCAGAACTGCTGGTGGGATGTGAAAACAAAGTGGCGTGTTCCCCTGCCAGCAACTTTCTGGTGGGGAGGAAGGAGGAAAATTCCCATCTTCTTCATGGCTGCAGCCCTCTTCCTCGCTGGTGGACATGCTCGTGAATAGTGTTCCACTGCAATGTCTGTTCAGGCACCATAAGGAACTTTATTGGGGACAGTGAACTGCTCACTTTCTCGAAATGAAGAAGAGCCCCAGTGAGACACAACAGAGAGATGGATTGTGGATTCTCCTATTTTATCCCTGGGGACGGAGGGAATCTGGTGCTGACAGAAAAAGAGGCTGTGTTTACTTTGGGTTATATTGACCTTGGGCATGACATGCAGGCTGTATAGTAAATTCAGGTAGCTAGGATTTTGAGCGGTTTTTTGGTGTGTGTGTGTCTTTATAAACGTCCTGAGTTATAATTGTGTCACCCAGGCCCGTAGCCGGGGTGTGTGCGTGTGCCTTGGGGCAACGCTCCTTCCTGAATTTGCCCTGCCCCCTCATCTCCTGGCCCCCTTCCCCTCCCCTAGGAGGCAGAGGGAACCTGGGACTGCTGATTGAGAGGGAAGCGGTGAGAATGGCTGGCTAGAGCACAGCTGGCGGAGCAAGAGTGGGTGGGAAAGGAGCACACACGGGGTAACAGCACAGGTAGCTGCGCCCCCAGCCAGGGAGAGCCAACCACCTGGCCTCTGAGCATGTGCAGCTGTGGCAGCAGCACCCGGGATGTGTAATTGAATTAGCCCTGTTAATTAGCTCAGGTAATTGAATTAGCCCCAGTAATTTGAATCAGCTCCATTAATTAAATTAGCTAAACTGCCCCCATGAAAAAAATTCTAGCAACAGGGCTGGTGTCACCAGCTCCAATACAGAACGGTTGATAAAGTTTTGTCAGGTTCTAACATCAAAGTAATTTTAGCAATGCTAAACTTTGTTGGATCCAACTTTATTTGAAGTTGATCAGACTGATTCCCTCCCCATCCTATGGGGCACAGAGAGGATGTTCTGTAGATTCAGGACCCAATTCACCATAAATCCAAGTAATACCTTTGTTCTTCTTTGTCTAGAAGGCAGTGATATGCAGCAATGTCTTTCTCCAGCTGCGTCTTAAGCGACAGAAGAGTTTCGCGATCCCTCTGCTGCTGCTCGGTCTCTGCCCGGATTTCTCCTACTTCTGCCTCCAGTTTGGTAATGACAGAGCCTAAATTCTGAAGCTCTATGTCATGCCAGTGCTTAGTGTCAAAAAGGGAGTTCTCCAGGCCTCTCTTCTGCAAGGACAAGAAAATGACAAAACTCTAAAGAGGCTCATTGCTGGCTGTTTTTGCACAAGTGTTTTTGGATATGTGCACTTTTTAAAGATTCTTTTATGTTCTGTGTGAAAGAAGGGTTTTATCCCAAGCAAGGGGTCTGCCTGGCACATAACTGACATATTACAGAAGCATGAGAAGACCGTACACACTAAAAGGTATTCTAAACTTAATAATTTTGTTTTCCACCAAGGTGAACTCTGTGCATCAATTATGGTAGACTGAAAAGGACTCCTTAAATCACGGGTCACCAGCTTTTTTTAAAAAAATGAGAGCTACTTCTAGCAATATAAGTACCCTGAGCAGTATAACATATAAATATATTAAGTCTGCTTCCTCCCCCGCAGCAAAAGTCAAGACTGGTTTCAGTTCCATTTGCACACAGAGAGGCAGCAGGTCAAATGATTGTGGCTTCCCCAGCTATAAATATATTAAGTCTGCTTCCTCCCCCACAGCAAAAGTCAGGAGTCAGGACTGATTTCAGTTCCATTTGCACAAAGAGAGGCAGCAGGTCAAATGATTGTGCCTTCCCCAGTAGTGGAGTCTTGTGAGTAGGGATGGGCACAAACCAGCTCACGAGCCAAAATTTGGACCAGTTTGGTGCATGGGAACTGATGTTCGAGGAGGGTGCCTTCCCTGAACATTTACCAGACTTTTGTCTGGTTTGGCTGTTCAAGGCCAGCCATTTAAACCTAACAGCTGAGTGGTGTGGGGTCTGTCACTCAGCTGTTAGGTTTAAGTGGTTGGCAGCCATTTAATTCTTCCCAGGCAATCCCTGCCCTCTTTCTCCTGGCTGCAGGAAGCCATGGTCGGGAGAAAGAGGTAAAGAAAGTCCTTTCTCAGGTGATCCCCACCCCCTTCTCCTGGCCCCAGCAAACTGCCATTGGGAGAATGATGGAAGGGAAGTTCCTTCCAGGGTGGTCCTCACCCCTTTTCTCCTTGCTGTGGCCAGGAGAAAGACGAAAGCAAACTTGCTGGACCGGTTCAGTTTTGGTGGGGCCTGTTTGAGTAGGTTGGGTTCGGAGTTCGGTTCATGGGCTGCCCCAAACCACCCTTTTTAGGTTTGTGCCCATCCCTCCTTGTGAGAGCATTCTCTCATGGTCTATTCCTGCATCTCCTAGGGACTGCGCAAGCTGCTTTTCAGCAGCCAGCAACCTCCCTGTTGCAGACCCCTGCCATAAGTCTGTATTGCATTTCCTTACTAGACCTGCAAAATTCTCTGTGTGTTCTTACACCATCTCATCATCCTGGTTGAAGCATTTTCCCTGGGAGTTTCAGAAGTGGTGATGACTGCTCTGAGAAACATGTGTGCAGATCCTTGCATCCATGCCAACAGGTTGTGGATTGTGGCCTGAGCATGGGAAGGAGCCAAAAGGGCATCTCATTTATTTCAGTGGAAGAAGTTTAAGCACTTGCTCTCACTGAAATCAATGGGACTCAAAAGAGCTTAGTTTTTCCTGGGTCTCTTCCTTTATAAATACTATCTTCAGTGCTGGAAAGCTGGATGAGTCTTTGCATCCAGAATTATAACAGACACACTGAAGTCATCAAACACTTTACTCGCTCAACACTGAGTCTCACAGGCATGTACAGCCAGGTAGGAATTTGGACAAGCAATCCGCATTGAAAACGATGACTTTATACCAGTCAGTAAATACGAGTTCTCATTACTTACCAGTGTTCTCAGGGATTCGGTCTCAGCTTGCAGGCTTTGTATTTTGCAAGCTGTTTCGTGAAAGTCTCCCCTCAGGGACTCAATCAGTTCCTCCTCTTGGGTTCGCACAGCTGGTGCTGCTTCTGTGGGTTGCTGACAACATACAACAGTGTCACACACAAAACTTTTTTTTTCTCATTTGCCATTCAGTTGTACAACAAATGAGTAGAAAGTTAAAGGTCAGTCCGGTTCTACATCCTCAAATTTCTCACAATTACTGTAAGGAAATATGATCCTGGAATGGAAACGGTGCTTGCAGAAAATTGAACAAAAAGTTATCTCATGAGGTCACAATACAAAAAACATAATCCTAGAAGCAAAAATTTGTGTAATATCTTTTCAGTAGGAACAACCAAAACACCACATAATTAGTGGGTGTTCAGTATTAAAACAATCACAAAAAAGGAGAGAGAGAAAAGATGTTTCAGGGCATGGCAGAGAAGCTCTTAATCTGTAGTTTAGAGGGTATCGAAATGCAATGCATGATGTAGGGAGGGGCTGTGGCCAGTGGGTGAACATCTGCTTGGCATGTGGAAGGTCCCAGGTTCAATCCCTGGCATCACCAGTTAAAAGGACCAGGTGATGTGAAAGACCTCTGCCTGAGGCCCTGGAGAGTTGCTGCCAGTCTGAGTAGACAGTAGTGATCTTGATGATGATGATGATGATGATGTGGTGGGGGGAGGAGGAGGAAGTGGTTGGATTTATACCCCGCCCTTCACTACCCAAGGGAGTCTCAGAGCGGCTTACAAACTCCTTTCCCTTCCCTCCTCCACAACAGACACCCTGAGGTAGGTGGGGCTGAAAGAGCTCTGAGAGAAAGTGCTCTTTTGCAAGAACAGCTGTGCCAGAACTAGGGCTTGCCCAAGGTCATCCAGCAGGTGCATGTGGAGGAGTGGGGAATCAAACCCGGTTCTCCCAGATTAGAGTCCATGCACTTAACCACTACACCAAACAGCTTCATGTGTTCATGTGTCACAGACCTAATTGGATTAGGATAGGTGAGCATGGGCGCATGTTCCACCAGCACTCGGCCAGGGCCTTTTCCACCCCAGCTCGGTGGAACATTCTCCCGACTGAGATCAGGGCCCTGTGGGATCTATAGCAATTCTGCCAGGCCTGCAAAACTGAGCTCTTCAGCCAGGTTTCTGGTGGAGGCAGTGGACGTCAAGGAACATTGGCCTCCCTTGCCTCAGTTACTCCATGGCACTATTCATACTCGTTGGTGCCAGGAGTGGTTGAGTTATTCCATCAGAATGATCCACCGCCTTTCCCTGACATGAACTCAGTGTACGCTGAAATGTAACTAACTGCTCAGCTGCCAGTTAGGTATTTAAATTAGTCATTTAAACTTTAGCTTTGTTGGAATTAATGTTTTAATTGCTTTTATATCTTATGGAATTGTCTGATTGTTTGACATGATGTAAGGCAGCCTGGGCCCGTTCACAGGGTAGGGCAGGATATAAATCTCAATAAATAAATAAAAGCTAGTGGGACAAAGGAAGAAAAAAAGTAGTATACTGAGTGGGTAGTCACAGCTTCTTTCAGATAGTTTTAGTTGCGCCTACCTTGCTGTGGAGCAAAGCTCCAGTCTCAGCACGGTTCCGTTCAATATCTTTCTCCCAATGAATCCGAATTTTCTCCAATATATTATCAAGGCCAGGTCCAATGGGAGCATCAAGTTCTTCCAGTGGTGATACAGCAAGCTGATTGTACAGCATCTTGACATCCTGAAAAACCCATGCAGGCAAAAAGTGCAGCACTCAATGAAATTCTGTGGTGACTGGCTGCCCCCCTTTTTGTTTCCCCCCCCCATGCGTGCTTTATAGCACTATAATGGTTCTATTAAAATTTGAAATAAGCGTCAGTAAATCACTGTACTGCTATAATGCTGTAGCAATTACCAATAAAAAAACAACTCATGAAGGCCCTCTGATGGTT